AATAACAACAACCACCAAAACAATCAAAGTACCCTGGATTGCTTGTTTTGTCCAGAGGGTAATTTTCATTTACATGCAGTAAGTAGAATCTTGGAGCAGAATTAGGATCTCTCTTATATTTCCAAGAATTCGTATAGTCAAGATGAAATTTCATTGTCAATATACCTGATGCTTTTTCTTTTTTAAAAGTAATGACTAAAACTTCCTTTCCTGTACACTAACAAGGAGAAAAAGTCTTTCTTTGAAGACCAAACACCTGAGATCCATTTTTGCTTTGATAAGCCATGTTTTACTGAAAAGGAAATCCATCACAAGAGAATATGAAATTTTCTTTTGGTCTACTAATAAAACATTTAAATTATTTATATGAAAAGTACCGGGCAAATTTTAAACACTTCACACGTCTTTGAGTGCAAATATTGACCAAGCAAGTATTGAACTTGATTGATCTTTGTGTTTTATTTTACCAATAATTTAGCCAAATTTTACATGAACAACAGTTCAACTGTAAAAGCAAAAACCTCTCTGCCTGTATCAGTGGCTCTGAGCTCTGCTGGGTCATGGCACGCCTGGGGAATGCGCCCCCATCTCCTCTGAACCCTTCATGTCAAGCTGAGATGCGATGGCTGGCCAGGGCTTTGCCAGCCTAACCACAAGCTACTGATGTACAGCCATTCTTTAATTTTTGGCACAAATCTTTCACTTTAGTGATTAAGAAATAATTCCAATCAGGGTAATTTTTGCCACCATACAGAGCTGTGACTGTAATGTAACTCCTTATTTCTTCAGAGGTCTGGGAAACTGAAACACAATTTTGCACGTTGGCTAGAAAATTAACAAAGTTAATCATGAGGCTCAGAAGTTAAGAAACTTTTTTTTTTGCAATAATTTACAATAATGGGAACATAAGTCTTTCATACGCTTGAGTTATTGGTTAACATGCTAAGTAGGAAATTCCTTCAGTGCTGGCTTCTCCACTATATAGGACTCCGGGCCAGTCCTGCCTTCATTGTAATAATCCAGTTTGTTATTGGACCCTGTGAATAAAGTACTCAGCCACTTGGCTATCAAACACAATATCCTATTTGCTAGTTCTAAAAGGGTTATGTTTTGTTTTTCAACAGTTTTATTTAGTCAGTTTTCTGGCGATGCTTAGGCAATCTTATTTTCCAGTATTTTAATTTTGTTTTTCCATTTTCTTCTTCCTAAGGCTACATAAGCTATTATGTGTCCCTGCAGAGAGGTTTTATAAGCCTACCAGTGTGTGGCAGGGGTATTTGTGTGTCTTCCCTTTTGTTGCTGGGAAAAAAAAAGAGTATTCTCTGCTCTGGAAAATATTCTGATTTCTGTTGAATGATTCAGTGAACCCTGCCTTATTAGAGGACCATAGTTCAAGCACAATTCAGAAAGATATTTAATCTCCTTAGCCCACAGAAGCATTTCTATCTGCATGATAAAGCAGCTCATTCCAACATGCAAGTCATGAACACTTGAGTAATAGGTATACTGTTCTGCACTACGGTAGAGTACTGCCAAATTTTAGGAAGGCTTAGTTCTGACAGAATTTTATTTCATGCTCTCCAGCCCCAGTATAATCATGAATCAGGGTGGACAAATGTTTGTAGAATTTTATCTGTGGCATATAAAATCCCCATTCCGTAACTGTCAGCAGAGAGGTTAGAACAGCTGCAGTTGGGTGAAGAAGTTTGCAAGATGGTTGTTGAACCTTGGTATTTCTAATATTCAGCTCCAAGTCTTATAATCACTGTTTTTTTGATATGCAATATTGCTAATGTGTATTTAACACGTCTGGCTCCAACAGGTTAGACCTTCTATTATTTTATTTTAAAAGAGATTATTAAGAGCATAAAGGGAAGGAAACTCCTCGTTGTCACTTACATACCTAACTTTTCCTTAATAAAGCAGTTCTCTTAAAGTAAGCGCTTACGTTTCCTAGGCAGTAAGCAGAGGGAAGTGCCTCGGAGGTATCCAGAGGGATATGTCTGTCCCACTGATTCTACAACATTGCTCCCTGCATCTGGTCATTCAAATAGACCTCACCTAATAGCTGACCGCTTTGTGTTAATGGATTTGATCCAATGGGGAAACTGGCCCCAATGAAGTCACCTGCCACTGAATAAGCACTTACAGTTAGCAGAATTAACACCGGGCACTGTCTGGGGAGGTGAAATCAACCCCCTCAACCTGGTAATTCAAAAGGATTATTCAGAAAGGTAATTCACAATGGATCCTAAACCACTGATATGAGGAACACAGTAACTGGAAGCATTATATAAAACCCAGAGATGATGACAGAAGATGGCCTAGAAACATCCTTTCTTGCTTCTGAGAGACACAGCCATAACTGAAAGATCTCCGACAACAGCTTTTATGGCTAATTATTTTGGGTAATTCAAAAGGATTATTCAGAAAGGTAATTCACAATGGATCCTAAACCACTGATATGAGGAACACAGTAACTGGAAGCATTATATAAAACCCAGAGATGATGACAGAAGATGGCCTAGAAACATCCTTTCTTGCTTCTGAGAGACACAGCCATAACTGAAAGATCTCTGACAACAGCTTTTATGGCTAATTATTTTACTGACTAGGGAGAGCGAAGGTGCACAGAGCACTCTGCAAGAGACAAAGTCCCCCTGTGTGAAAGAGGCTGGTGTAGATCCGCAAAGATAAACGAAGAAACCTGCTGTTGGCTTTTGGGAATGAGGCCAGGTCCCTCTGCTTCACGGCTATGAGAATTACTTGAAGAGCATGGCTGGATGTAACAGAACAGAGCACGCTCTTGGAAGCAGCAGCTGAACGTGCAGACAGAGCATCCTAAATTCAACTAGCAAAGCTTTTGGAGTTCAAGGCTCCGACAACCTTGACATTCACAGGTATACTTCCATACTGGGAAATTCAAGCACATTCAGGAGCATTTTGGGTCACTGGACCATGATCACCTATGCTAGCAAACTGACAGGTTATTCCCTGGCCAGACTCTGGCCTGTTGTAATCGGCACTCTTGCTCGGGGCCCTGACGTTCTCTCTGAATAACTCCTGGGCGTGGCTTGGTGGCTACAATGGCCCAGGGACAATTCTCAACGTGCAGTTTGTTTGGCAGCCAGGACAGTTTGCTAGCACAGATACTGGCCATTCTGTGCCAGCTGGCCTCAGTGCCTAGCAATATTCCCAGGCATGGTTAGTTTACTAATGTGGACATAACTGTAATGGGTTTCTGCACTACCCAGGGAACATAACCATCTGTAATAATTTACATGTGTCATAAAATTAAAACTTAGATATTGAAAGATATCTCATCGAAGAAATCAGTCTTTGAAGAGGAGGACAATCAGATTTTAAGAGCAAAATTGGAATTATGGCCGGGAATGGCCAAATCTTCACAGTTGGCCAAGCACCTACTTTTTTTTTTTTTTTTTAGCCTGTCCAAAACAATATATGCAATTATTTGTTTTGGAATGTTGATTTCCTTCATAAAGGGTAATTAATGCTCTTACATGGCTGTATGTATGCGCTTTATTGTACTATAATAATGCTTCAGTTCATAACATCTAAGCATTCTTCTCATAAGCATCTGGTGACACTTATGCCTTTGATAGCCTTTACTGGTGTCTCTAGTCTTCTCCATCCTCCACTTTAAGGGTTATGGGTGTGGTGGAGGAGGAAGAGCAGCTGCAGAATGTATTTCTTCTGGCTATTTGATCAGAGAAATACCTGTCTCCACTTTTTTTTTTTTAAATAGCCCTTTGCAAAGTCCAGAGAGTATATGTTCCTGTGCTAGCCTTCACACCCTAAAAAGTCATTGCAATTGAGTAGATGGGACATCAAATATCAAAATTCCTTTCTATCAGTGGGATACTCACTAAATCTGGAAACCAGTGCTCTAGGTTTGGGTAATTCATTCTGCAAACAAATCCCCTTACACAGCTTGCTTCAGATTAGGTCGTGAACCTGCATTATTCTTTTAGTGCTTTGAAAATTACATCAGGTTGCTGTCTAAACTGCCGCTAATTGTTAGAAAAATTTGTTGCTTGTATAACAAGGCTTGAAGAAAATACTTTGCCATGAATTGAGATTTGATTGTGCTAGGCACTGTATAAACAGAACAAATGTGTTATTTCCCTTACTTAATAGTTAGGTTTTTATATGTATTTTGTAAGAAGACAATAGATGAGTACAATGAGGCAGGTGGGAAAACAGAAGAAAACTGTGGACTGGGCAGCACAATATGGCTATTATAGAATCCAACAATTTGGTGTTTGCACATCAGACTAACTGCAGTTTTCTTTTTTTGAAGCATTACTTTGTAAAGAACAAACATCTGCAGCATATGTACATTTTGGGGAATTTCTCCCCCTTGTTTAGTTGGTGCCGTAATACGTAGTTTACCTGTAGATGATAGCTTGTACTATTATTATACCAGACATCTCAAACACTTCTTTGTGCAAAGGCATAATCAGACAATCAACTCTCTTCCTTCAGTTTAATTTTTCTCTGTGCATTCTATGCCATTTGTGTCATGTAAGCTTTGTCAGGCACCCACTGCTGCGCTACCTGAAGGCTAACTGCATCACATACTTTGTTTCTTATGAGCAGGATAAATCTGATCAAGATGCACATGAACCTAAATTATTTGCATTTTCATTGCGTTGCCATTAGCCTGCATGAGACACAGCACCTGACTGTACTTTCTAGCCATGCGTGTATTTATGTGCTTCCAAAATCAGCAGCAAAGCTTATTAATAAAGACCTATTACACTGAAGGGTAAAGCTTAATTGAAGGGATAGTGAGAGGGTGCTCCTCTATCTTAGACATCTGACTAATGGTTCTGATTATCATCCTCCAGGTTTACCTGAAGCTGCGTAAGGTATCACTGTCCCAGGGATCCATCTACCAGTGCTTAGCACCCTGCAGCAAAGCTAAACACCCACTGGTTCCTCCGTCACTGGAGTACATACTCTGGTTTATTAAACGGTCCACAGTCTAAACTATGCACACTAGGCCTGTGAACCACAGATCCTAGGGAAGCAGTACAGTATGGCAAGCACTGGCAGAGAGGTGAGTCAGACACCGGGAAGTAGTTACCAATGCTAAAGCCAACAGATGAGGTCTGAGCACCTATACTTAGGAGTCTTAACTCCCTGTGTAATGAGTTGAGAGACGTAGGTACCTGCAGAGGGACAGTGCACTTGAGTAGATGCCTAATGTCAGCTGTGCAGATATTCTCCAGAATAAAGCAGCATTCTTCACTTCACCTCAGGTGCCACCAGGTGTCCCTAAGGAATAATTCTGTATGGTATCCTTTCTCCCCACCGATTTTCCTTTAGATAATAATGTGGCTGTGCTAACCGATCACCCGAAGACTGTTCTCCATACAATTCAAATAAGTAACATACTGGATAAGTTTACTATTAAAAAGTATATTGTTTAGGGTGACAGGGCTAAAGGACATCTATTGTATCAACAAATACAGTCCCTTCATTTGAATGACCCTAAATAAAGTACTTGCGAGCTGTTGATCTCAAGACAGCCCATGAAATTCTAATTAAGTTTGCCCCCATTATGGGAAAGCTCATCCAGATTTTATGAAACCTTCTCTAGATTTTCGTCTTTAATAAGAAACAACCATGAAAACCATGAAAATTTAATCAGGTTAACTAAATTCTTCTTAGTTTTTGAAATTTTCTTCACTATTAGGTCATGATTTAACATTTATGGGTAGTCAAAGCATTTAGGCATACATGGAAAAGTTAGGGGAGTAGTACAGGAGTATGTTCATTCAGTATCATTTGTTTTTATTATACATACAAATTCCTATGTAGACAGTAACGTTTCATGAACATCACAGATTCTTTGCCTTCCCTTCTTTGCCTTGCCTTGATTCTCTTTTTTTTTCCTTGAAAACATCCTCTCAGATTTGGGCCAGGACGATTAAAGAGTATCGTATGCTACAGTTCTTCCACTATAAATTTTCATTTATTTATACATTAAATAAATACCTTTTAAGGCTCACTCAACTGTATGCCAGGAAGAGGACAATCTGTGTGAAGTAACTGTTTTATGCTTGCCTGTTTTAACTGGTGACTAATTGTAATGATCAGGACTTCCCTTCTTAATAATAATCATTTGCTAGGGATAAGTAATACTGCCAAGCAATATTGCCTGAGACACTAGAAAACTGAGTGGGTAGAGGAACACAGTTAGCAGAAAATACAGCAAATGCATGGCATAGGAGTGTGACTGCTATTACTGCTCTTGTCTGTACCATGGCATCACGCAGGGATCCTATCACAAACCAGAAGACCCACTGAGCCTATGGAAAAAAGAGCTGAAAACCAAAGTTTGTCATCCAAAAACCCTACATACAGCTTTTGCAAATTCTACTGCTATACCCATTTAAAATTAATAAACGAAGATACCTAGTGCTACAGATGCTAAAAGCACTACCAGGTCTGGGCATTCCAGAAACAAAGTATATTCAGAAGGATTTTGTTTTCTAAAAGTTTGTTGTCTGAAATTATTCTTTGGAAACTGCTGTCTTCACTCTCTTAGAGATCTTGTGCTGTTTATCCAACTTGATATTTCTTTCAGTTAATTACTTTTATTTTTCCTATTTATTCTGTCCCATTTGCACTTTGCACTTTCTTTGTTTTCATGTATTAAGTCAAAAAAGATCTCATAAGAAGACTATTCTGATGATCATGCAAGAAGTTGGAAATAAAATAAGGACTTTCCTCTTCCTTGTAATAAATGTGTTGATACTGTCAGGTAACTTTAAGTGATGAAGACCCATTTCTCTCCTCTAACTTCTATCAGCTTTCCCCCACATCCCCAGTTAGACTTCTTAAATTTAGCCTTCATTTTAAGGTTTAACTTTAAGCATGAACAAACACAGATTCCAACAGTGTCTGTATATAGCTCTTGGGGGTATGTTTACATTAGCATTTTTGTTTGGATCAAAAGCGCTTTTTGCAAGTCAATCTCCTGATTGTCCCACTTACCATGCTTTGGTTGTCATTGCTGAGCAGTCCTGGACTAGACTCCTTTTCAATGACAATAAACCAAAACACACCCTCATGATCAACTCATCGGACAGAACTAGGTCCAGGCTGAAGCCCCCGCCCCGCAATACAAACAGTCATGATCAACTCATCGGACAGAACTAGGTTCAGCCTGAAGTCACCTTATGGTGACATAAGGTCCTCACACACTAGTTTTGCTTTACAGATCTACTCCTCTTTGTGCTGCACACGCCAATGCAGACATAGCCAAAGAGAACTCTGTTTTAGAGTCTCCATACTTTTAAAAAGAAAACATGGATGCCAAAGACTTTCTGAGACCCCAATGTGAACCGTTAACTAAGAGCAGTAGGAGTAGATTACATGAACTTCAAGTAGTCTTAGAATTATCCATTGTTATTTTAAAAACCTTTTAAAAAATTTATGTGTATTCAGGGCCACAGAGTGCACATCTTAAATGTGCAAATGCTTCATATTCTGCGTCACCTTATAATTGCTTAACTCCTACACAGGTACAGTACTGCTGAAAAAAACAGTTGCGGGCTGAAAAAACAGTGAGGAGAATACTCATTCATCTCTAGTATACACTCGCACTCTTGCATCTCTAAAACACACTCTAATTGCAGCAGCTGGTTTCAGTCATGGTCTTACCCAGATGCTAGCAGGTCACTGACAGGGTTCCAGGCACAGATGAACACCTCTGACTCATGGCCCCGAAGGACTGTTGCTTTGTTAGGAGGAATTTCAACATCCCCGTCAATTTCCATTGGCTTTGAATGATTATCTGTAAGGAGATATATCAGAATAAGTAGTTTGCAAGATGCTGCTAGGTCTGCTTTAAAAACAAGCTGGCTACCCGTGGCCTAAAGCTTACAGCAACGTATACGCTATAAATACTATTCTATGTTGTGTCACTGACCATATTACTCTATTTTCTACCTATGATGATTCAAATTAATATTTCCTCAAAATGTAGAGCTTTCCAAAATATTTTGTACAAATGCACGCAGCTTTTCTTCAAAAACTAGTCAGCATTTATTTCAGTATAGTTTTTTTTGAAGCTGGCTTCGTGAAAAATGACTTACAGATCTATTAAAATAGCAGATCGTCACATTTGAGAAAAGCTTTATGCTGTTCTTTTAAAAAAGTAACACACAGCACATACATTTTCTTACACAGTGTCCTGTAAGTAATATGCGTGCTACTCACAGATGAAGAATATACCGAGTAAGGGCCTCATTCCCTGAGCATGGCAGTGAAACGGCGAGTGATCACCTTCTCAAGGATATCATAATATATGCAAAGGTACCAACTGAGGCATAGATATACTTAACCTGCATGCTGTAATTCTGGGGTTCTTTAGACTGCAGTCTAAGTAACTTTGTTTTTATAAAGCTCTTTTATGTCCTTAAGGAAAAAAAGTGAATTTAAAATGATGAATTTCTCTTAGTGGCAGCAATTCATTCCAATTTGCATCATGAACAATGTTTTCACTCCAGATTTTCATTGCTTCAGTATAAATCTTCCTCATTCAGCTCAAACTACGCTTCCTGGCAGCAACAGAAGATTATTATCCTCTGCGAACAAGACACCAACCAAGGACAGGTAACACACTGAAAGCGCAGACAGCAGATGTTACACACAGAAGTGTGGCCCATTTCGCGGAAAGCACATCCAAGAGCGGATAGCTGGCAGGCCGGGGGAAAGGCAGCCTCGTGTTATCTAATCAATGTCTTGGCCAGCTGATCTGCTCTGATTGATCGAAATCCAAGTTCTCGTTCTGGGTTAAGTCTTTTAGTTAGTCATTCTTTAATCACATATGGAGATCCATAGGTTCACAAGTGCAATAATTATGCTCCTTTATTGCCACATGTTTATGGCATTTAAAATCAGCCATCTGTCCTGATACTCAAGCTCTGCTGAGCTATTGCCCATCAACTGGCAAAACAGACTGTGACGTTGCACAACTGCCATCGGAAGGAAGATCTCCAGATTTCTACCCTTACCCAGGCTTTCAAATACCGTGCTTTGCTCTGCCTAATTTATGCTGAGTCACACAAGTAGCACTTCTCATTGCGTATTTGGTTAGGTACCCTACTAACTATGTCTGTGCTATATCTACGCCATAGATGGAATGGAATGGAATTCACATGTAATTCAATGACTAGCATAGCACTGAGTATCAAATTTAGAAAACAACTAACAGTAGTTTCACAGCTCACATTTCTAATTCAAAATATCTGTATTTTTAACTACACTTATTACCTATGGACTTGTTGCATAAAACTAAACGTATTACAAATGCCTGTTTATAAAATCTATACCTATGCTGAGGCCCTATGTTAAGCATTGTCCTTGATAATTCCCTATGTGTATAACTAGTAAAATTAATACTGTCAAGATATACTAGTACTCGAGATTTAGCCTGACACTAGCAGCTGGGAACTTGGATATGATATTCTGAGCAATCAGGACAATGAAGAGCAAAGCACAATTAAAACCCACCAGAATATATGAGTCTAGAACTCGCAACCCTCTGTTTCTCAGCACAGAATCACCAGGTTTAAAGCATATTTTCATGAGAAAAACAGCAGCATGGTAATGGCTATGCATTCATCTGTGTCCTGTTCACAGTGTGAGTTGGAAGCTGGGTGTAAATCAAGAAGTAAGATATTTCAAGTGTTTTAATTTGAAAAATTTAGATGAGAAGCTACTCTTACCACATATGATCCTACTGTTACCTGCCTGGCTCTAAAGGCAGAGCTGCTTTTCACTCTTGAATAAAGCCAAATGACAGCTTGGAAGCAGCATTACTCCAAGGTCCCAGAGTTACGAGGTGCTATCAGAGCAAGGCCATCTGATACTTAGAAACATTTTTTGTTTGTACATGGCCAGATGGAGGAACCTAGATACACACTTTCAATGTTATTAACTGCTGTGAAAAAAACCACAAATAGTCATGCTGTGAAAAAGAAACCTTGATCATCTGATACCTGCATTAGTACATGCAAGACTGACTGGCCTCTGGGAGCAATGAAATACCTGCAGGATTGTTTTCTATTGTCTTCCAGTAATGATTTTGACACTACAGCTTTGGTGGTTCAGGAAAAAAGGGAGGGAAAGATGAGGAGTCTTTCAGAAAGCGTTCGCAAATGTTCACATTACATGCGTTTTCTTCCTATTTTCATCAGTAGTCAGGAACATTCATATTTAGAGCGTTACTGTTAAGCACAAAACTTAAAATGCCTGACTAAACAAACAGGACAGTTCACGCTTCTGCACTACTGCTTCAGGCTCTTCTCAGATTCAGATAGACACTAGCAACATAAAATGGATACGATTATGATAACAACAAACAACTGCAGAAACCCCTGAACACAAGACGGCACCTCGTAACAGTGCTGAGTTCCTTACACAACACAAGCTCTTGTGAGCCCTGGTCTCATCTGAAAAATTGGCTCTCCTATGGATGCAGCTACAATGTGTGCATGGGGAACGAGAATAAATAGGTAAGAGGCAGTAGCCACCAAGAATAGGCTTCTTTTTTTAAAAATATCTTCAGAGCAGAAAGCTGTCGGTTAAGACCTCATTTGCACAAAGAATGCCTCTGAGGGGGTCTTGGAAAGAGAGGGCAGTTCTACCAAGTGCAACAGACCCTCATAGGTGAAAAGTCTGCAGGTCACATAGTGGAGGACTCTGCCCACATGTTAACACAAACCATTTTCTAAAGGCCAGAGCATCTTTGGTTAATTCTATGCTATATTCTTCTAATTTTTTTCCTCAAACGTATTAAAAATCCCAGATCACTGGAAATTAAAAGTCATATTCCCCCAAACTATTATGGTTAAGTTTTTAGAAAAATGTAATTCTAACACACCAGTGAGTAATATTAACTCTCTATTTCCTCCAAACTAAAAAAGATATCTTTTTAAGATCCTACCAGTGCTAACCCTGTCTTTTCTCAGGAAATGTGTTTTTTTCCTTAAATCTTTGACAGGCCTTTCACTGAAGTTGTTCTTTACGGCTGTAGTTACAATAAAGGAACTGGGCTCAGTCTTTTTTCCAGAGCTTTATTTTTCTTAAACCCAAGCCAATCCTTGCAAATATAATGAAACAAACGACACTAAAAATATTTGAGTTGGAAAACAATCCAAAGTTTGGCTCCATTTCTACATGCCGATTTTTATTTTTTCTACTAATTTTTAAAGTGACTCAAAGCTGAAAACATTACTCAGGAAGCAGCAAGAGAAGGCAGTGATTTTATTTATTCAGTATTTGAATCTGCACCTCAAACTGTTGTTATTGTTAGATTTTTTCCTGGCTCTTCCCTTTCTTATATCAATTCACCCTATCATATTATATTGATAACACCACATAAAAAAATATACCATATTATATAAAATATATTAACACTTTTTTGGGAAGACTTATAGTGTCAGGGAGAACTCCACATCACAATAAATGCAAACTGGGTAACTTCCCAAAGACATCTCTTTCACCCGCTCCCCCCATCCCGCCTTTTTATGACAGGTTGATGTATGTTCCAGGTTATGACTAAGGACTAGCACACTGTCCAAACCCATCCCAGTATATGCCAGTTCTGTGAAATCCAACAACAGTGAAAATGAAGCTTTGGGAAGTTTCTCACACCTTTCGTATCAGCAATCTTTTCTACCCAGCAGGTCTCCCAGCTTTCACCTTACCCATCTTACATCCTATCCTAAACTTTTGTCCTATCCTACCCTAAAGCTTTTGTCCTAAGCTAAGCTCTTGCCAGATCTTTTGTCTTAGTCTATCCTAGACTAAACAGACTCTCTGAACGCAGCGATAAGGGAAAAGGTAAGGCTGGATATACGGTTTGCCCTGCATAAGCAACGAAAAGGAAGGGTATGACCCTTTTGTTATGTCATTAATGTAACTATATTTTTCTAACTTTACCACAAGAGAGGGAAATACAACTGTGAGAGTGTTAATCAGATGCATGCAGTAAATTGACAGCTAGATTTGTTAGTCTTTATTTCTAGTGGTTTCTGATAATTACGGACGCAGACCTCTTGGAGTTTATCTAAACAGGTCTGTTCAAGGGCGAGAACGCTAGTTTTGCAGCTCTGTGTGCATCTCCCATGCATAATCCTCATTTGCAGTTGTGCTACACCACTTTGCTGGTATCTTCTGAATGCCTCAGACAGAAAGGTTATGTCCTCCCAAAGCGAGGGAGGCACGCAGATCAGAAAGTCTGTCCCTGGATTTCTCAGCAGCTTCTCTCCAAAGCCTCCTTCTCCTTAAATTGCTGAGCTCACCTCTTCACCCAGGATGACCAACTGGCACAACAGCAGCTGCCAACAACACATGCCAGCTGGCCAGCTACTCCTCGAGGACTTTCTATCTTCCCATTGCCACTGCTCAGTTAACTTGTCTACCTGGTAGGCTGCTTAGCCACAGTAATGCTTTGAAATTTGCTGTCTGGTAGAGTATCTCACCAGTTGACATGTATCCTACCTCTGTGAAATTTTACTGGACAACACAGTGTCATGTTCTTGCATCCTGCTTGAGACAGAGCTATTGGATGATATTAAGTCATACAGGACTTCTCCTCCTCAGTACTCCAAGAAAGGTCTGCAACTGTTCATGAAAATCCTTCTATTAAAAATCGGTGAGAATTATTATTTTTTAATAATAAAATGGTAGATCTGAGAAATCAAGGCTTAGATGGTGGTTATACATCTGAACTGATCTGCAAGACTTTCTTTTTATTAATACAATAGTATGTGTGTTTCTTCAGACCTGAAGGAAATAAGTCTGAACGGTTCTGTGTTAGTGATGAACCGATAATCAGTTTTCTACCTTCAGAATTTGGGTGTTTTGGTCCTGAGACAGGAAGACATTCCTCCAAAATTTTCACAAATCAGCTGAAGGAAAGTGTCAACAAAAAAAATGTCAGCATTTGATACATTTAAAAGTGCTTTCATTTCTTTTTGCACCCCTTCACATATGAAAGAAGTTCAATTTCAAAACAACGGCTCAGTTGGAAGAAAAACATAAGCAATCCATAGTCTAAAAACAGATTAGTTTTTTCAAATTTTTCAGAACTTTTTTACAATACATACAATTTAAATCATTGCAGTTTTATTGGGGGAAACTATCCTGTCTAACTGGAATTCTCTGAAGAAAAACCTGGTTTGAAAGCATTTTTCTCACTGACCCACAGAGGAATCTAGTCAGATCAAAGAGAAGATGGAGACTGATAAAGGTATCTACACTGCAGAACAAATAAAATCTGTTACACGACTACAGTCCTGACCTGTTACTTATCTAAGCCAAAGAGCTGTTGGGGCTTCCTACAAAACCTGCCATGCACGTTCCTCTAGAATTTGCTTGGGAGGCAATCAGGCATTCAGGTCTCATTTCAGAAGTTAGCCAGTGCCCTAATATGGCTTGCACACAGAAACCAGAACCATTAATCATATCCTCCCCACAATGTGAGCACAGTCATCAAGATCTAGTTACACAAGCAGGTATGTCCACTCCTTGTTTTATATGTCTGACTTTAAATGTCTAAGGTATGAGCGCGGTCTCCTGCCGTCACCAATAAACAAAGGTGAATTCAGAGCTCTTGCGAACTGACTGTTCCCACAGACTAAGGAAATCTCGGGAAGGTAGGAACTTCAATTAGATATTTGCAGTGGACTGTATGACTAAGCATGTGCTATTAAATAAAAAGGCGAGGAACTCTCCTCTGTGCCTTCAAGACAGGTTGGCTGCATCCAAGCTGTCTGCTGGGAACGGTCCTTGGCACATGCAACTCCCTACCCTGTGCTTGGCCATGCTGTACAAGAAGGGATAGCTGCTATAGGCCAAACTGTGCCAAGGACCATGCCAAGGCTATGGATGATCATAGGATAGTTAGTGCTCAAGGCTATGCTCTGGCCATGCTTAATTGACACAGATATGGCTTGTAGGTCCCAGCCTCTCAACCTGTCTCCCTCCTAGCCTGGACAAAATGACCAACTGTGGCTACAGCTTGTCCCAACTTTTATCAAATATCTAACAGCACCTATGAAGCTGATAATACGAATGAGTATTATTACATGCTCTAAGGAGAGAGCACACAGCTCCACTTCTTGATACTGTCTTCAACTTGCAATTCTAAGTTTTTGGATTCTGAGAGGACACCAGTAAAACATGCACTGTGACATGAAACGTGATTTTTACTCAGCAGCCTTTCTAGAAATACCCCGCCTTCCTGAAATGATTCCCCTGGGTTCTAACACCTTGCAGACACCAACTAAGTACAAGAATATTATTGAAACTCAAATTGCCCAGTAGTGGCAAGCAGCTGCATAGGTTGGCTTACTTATTGCATGTGCCCCATTCTCCTCTCCATTCACAGTGGCTTCTCCATTCTTTGGTGTGTTCTGCTGGGAAACAGCAGTCGTCGTTGCTCCCTCAAATTGCCCAGTAGTGGCAAGCAGCTGCATAGGTTGGCTTACTTATTGCATGTGCCCATTCTCCATTCTTTGGTGTGTTCTGCTGGGAAACAGCAGTCGTGGCGCTGTGGCGCGCGCTGGCTTGTTGCTGAGCTAGTTTCTCTCTGAATGCTTGCTGCCGGGTCTGAACAACATCAGGCATCACTGCGTCTATCAGAGACAGTGATTCTATTGGCCTGCCGTCAAATACTGTACCATCCTGCAGGGAAAACGAGCAGAAGTGAAACGGCAAGTTTAGGGTCTTCACCATTGAGGTCGGGCAAAGAGGTAATGATACAAAGAAACAAAACTAGGTTGTGTGAAGATACTGCACTTTGACTTGACCAGCAGTGCCACGTTACTACGGACCACCTCTCTCTCAGATCCGTGGTGGTGGTACTCATGTTCCACTTAGAAATCTGTTTGGTAAGTCATTTATTGGAATTTTATAGAAAATTCAGACATACAAACTCTTTACAGATGCAAAAAAATTACGCTGTGGAAAAAAAAAAAATTCTGACTGATGACAGAAAGTTTCTCTTTGTTTTGTATTTCGGAAAAAAGAGTCATGGCTAGAGCCATGACAAAGGCAAACAGACTTTGGTTGAATTGTTTGTCTTCCTGCACTTGCAGGGGCATAGTGGCTGATGAATAATGAACTTCAGCCAAAACAAGATGTATGCACAAATTCAGTGGTTCCTTACACAGCATTCATCAGCCCAGCACCACCAGTTGTAGCTGACTGCACAGGACTGCTTTATCGTTATTTTTCCTTTATTCTGCTAGTTTTATTCGTAATAGTTACGGCTTTCATTTTGATTTCTGTAAATTAGGCTTCAGGTTTAACAACCAATTGAGTTAACCTTTAAGGGCTGTTTTTTAAGACTTAATAGAGACTCAGGTCAACAACTGCTGTATCTACTTAGCTTTGCTTCACTTTCACTTTCCTATTATCTTAAATATAGGAAAAAGGTTTTAGTAGCCTCTGTAAAGTGCCATTTTACTGATCTTTTGCAAACTCCCTTTAACTCTTTGAAATAATCAAGACCCAGCAGTGAAAGATTTGTGTTTGAGGAATAGCAGGTAAGATTAGGATATGGACAGATGAAGCAGCTGGGAAACAATGTAATTTTTAATAGACAGCAATAACTAATAAAGAAAAATAGCCGTTTGGCTGACTAGTATGCTTCTGTTGGACTAGTCATTGAATTACCCCTTACAATTACAATATTAAGAGAATACTTATTTGTTTCCTCATGGGGAAGAAAAAGAAGGAAAGAGTCATTAGAGAAGAAAAATATAAGCTCTCTTTCTCCTCAACATTTTTTATGTAAGTATCTCTACCGACATTTATTTGAATCCTGGCTCAAATCCTTGCTACACAATGAAAAAAATGTTTGCCAATGGATTTTGGCATCTTACATTTTTAACTGTAAAACTGCTCACTGGACTATTTCCATGACTGCCCTTTCACAGCTCACAAACAATACTTAATTTTATACACATTAGTTTACAGACTCACTGATTACTAGCCGCTCTTAAGTAATACACATAGAGAAGCAACACGTAGAGAAGCATATACGTAGCCCTTACTGGCATTCAGACATAGCATGAATGGCCTTTGCTTTGCTGTAATGTACTCGACAGTACGTATTTGCACAGAATCAAACCACGATGAGAGTAACATAAATCTTAATGGTGACAACATGCATATTTATAGGTTATTCTCTCAACTTCAATTCTGAAGCTGGATGCACAGGAGCAGACCCCTACAGCTGTCATACGACCTGAACCGATAGGTGCTGTTCATGGCTGAAAGTTTCTAACTGTGTAGCTCCAATTTCAGGCACAGGGCAAAATGTTAAGCAGCAGCAAATTGGGACAGATTCCTAGCTCTTGTTTGTTATTACAACTGCATCAAAGTGCAGCTTGGCATGAATGTCAAATGTCATCGCCCCAATTAAAAAAATAACACATACACAACTCTTAAACACGGTATCGAGTCATAAAAAGAAAACCACACAGAATGTTAGTGATAAAAATAAATGAGTTTCCAAACTACACATTGCAAACAACACAACCTTTTCTCTATTTTATATTCCTTTGTTCTCACCCATGCTGTTCCCATGCCACATTCAGCTACAGAGGAAAAAGCAATAGCTTTTTATGTATTAATATTTATTACAGATCTCTGTCAATTATGAATATCTGTGGTAAATATTTTGTAATGCAGTATCTGTCACGCTTCACTCCCTCTCGAAGCATCACGCCTTTAAGGTTGGCAGGGCAAAAATGCTGGCTTTTCCCACACCCCCTCTTTGTTTCCCCTGGCAGTTCAAGGAGAACAGAGACACTTTGTGGCCGCTCATACAATCCCCACAGACAACCAGTGCCCCAGCCAGGGTCAGAATTTGCACATAACCATTTTGCCATGTACATGAGAGGATGATGCCTGGCCTTACGTGATCTGAGCCAAAGTCACTGAAATCAGAGAGAATCTCTCCGGTGACCTCCGTGGATTTTAGATCAGGCTTCTCATGGCTTGCAAGGAGGGGTGCCTGCTAGCAGGTGTCAGGCAGTGAAGTTTTAACCTACATTGCAGGCTTCTCCTGCCAAATTCCGCTACGACCTTGAAAACGCAAGACTGTAAACAGACGCATTTTCTTGTTTGCTGCGAGAATCCGTGCACCCCGGATTTGTTGACTGCGGTAGTGGAAACACCATAAAATCCATTTAAGCAGCGCAAAGAAGGCCTCAATGCCACAGCTAAAAACTGAAATACACTTCCACCTCAGGGCTCTTCAGCTCTCTGCTGGGGGTGGGGCAAAGTATGAGGAACAAAATGAAACGAGATCAACGGAAATCGCGGAGCGGTGGCCTGCGTCTCCGGGCTGTTGGGACACATCGCTTTGCAAGCCCCAGCGGGTCAGTCAGTGGTGCGCGCGGTGCCGGCGTTGGCGGGGGTACTTACTTCATTGATGCTGATCTCGGCCTCCACATACTGGAGCCCCTTCTGAAGGATGGAGATGAGTGCGGCAGGTGGCACTAGTGTTCCGTTGATGTTGGACTGGCTGATGTGGCTCTCGATACCGAAGGTGAAGGCCGAGTGGGAGAAACCTGAGAGCAGGAAAAGGAAGCCATGACATGAAATCTAAATGCACCAGCCAGATACACACACCTTCATGGTCTAAAAATAATCCTGCTGCAAGATCTGAGAGACGCTGCCGCGTAAGCAGAAGGACGCCGGCTGGCTGCATGGAGCCAGGGAGGTTAACCAGAGCCATCCTGACCACCCTGCCACCGCCACTGCCCATCCCCCTCCCCTGCACATATAGGGGAAGCCGTATAGAAACGGAAAAGCACGCAGAGAAAAATAACTGGAGAACTGTACTAACTGAAAACAAACCCAAACACATAAAAAAATAGGAATCGCCATAAGGGCAAGTCCAGCTGAAAAACCTGCCTCAAATCTTCACTACCCTTGCTGCATTTTAGTGTGGGTGTTTTCTGAAGAGAAACACTTAAATCCCTATCAGGGCGCAAGTTGTGTAAAATCAAGCCATAGATGCAGCCGACACAGGGGAGCCATTCTCTTATACCAGGGAGGAGATTTCAAATCCTCTGCTCATTTATTGATGAGTACAATGTGATGAGCAGAGCATTGCCATTAAAACGTGAAACAACAGAAAGGCTGCTCCCGTAAACCTATTTTCTGAAAGTGAACAGAAATAGCAAAAGTAATTAATTGGGATTTGCCAAACAGCAGAGGACAAGCCAGTGTGGTGGCCCATCCCTTAACCAGAAGCCTTTCTCTTCCCCGTTTCATTTTTGTCCTAAAAGTAAGGGTTAATGACAGTGACGGCACTGAAAATGAAAGAATTTTGCTGGACGCATTTTAGAGAAAGAGCTGTGCCTTAAACGCTGGCTGAAGCTGCTGAAAACTGTTGCTGGGTATGAAGGCGAGCGCTGCAGAGCGACTGTACGTAGGGGCAGATGCGGGAGGGGGGAAGGGGAACAGGATGTAGATATAACTGTAGGAACCCATTTATCACCACACTGTCTCCAGAGCATTAATCTAACATTAAAAGCCTTGGGGAAACCACCCATGCGCTGTCTCAAACAGGAAGAGCCCTCGCAGTCTCCACCAACTAGACAAGAAAGAAGAAAAAAAAAAAGAAGAAAAAGAAAGCAGCTCTCAAATGAAAATACTTCCGTTAAATATAGCTGTGCCTCTTCCCCTTGTCAACAGTAGTTTCATTTATAGTTTTGTCCGTTAAGGGATTTCTCCCATATCACTGCAATGTCCAATTGTGTGTGGGCTGGAGGACGGGATTTTGGGCTCGCTCCACAGTAATGCTCTCTCTCTCTCACTCAAATTGTTTTCAAGATCCTTTTTGCAGCTAGCTCAATTATGATCGTAGATAGATAGCAAAAACAAGCTGAGAAACAGAATGCCTCCCACATTTGAAACCGAGGTATGTATCTCTCTGTCATTCTCTCCCCCGACACATTTTATTTTGCCACTGTTTTTCTCCTCTTCCTGGTAACAGCCTCTATCCCCTCCTTTCCCAACCCCACCTTCCCTTCATGGCACTCCCCCCGCTTTGGGGGATGCTTGGGATACTTTTTAGGAAGTGGCAGGTCAACCTATGAGCAGAATTACATAGGATTACAAGGCATAAAAATAAAGCACAGCAAAAAACACCTGAAAAACTGCAATATAATTTATCTAATCCAATTCTTATCCTGTATGGCTCTTTATGTCCTGGTCTAGTTTATGAACTGCTGGACCTCCTGCTGCACCCAAAATAGACTGTAAGTTCTGCAGGGCAGTGTTTTTCCCTTGTTAGTAGTTTTGTAGGACACCTAAGCACATTACTGGGCACCACAATGAGGAAGAAATCAAGCACTGAGCATACACACACAGCCCGTGTCTGAGCGATCTAGGGCTTGATCACTGAACGCTGAAATCTCTATGTATATATAAATACATGTCATGCAACTAAACAGAATTAGAGAATCAGATCCCACTTGATTTGTATTTCTGTGTATTTAAATTAATCAACAACAACAACAGTAACAATACCTTCTTGAAAAGGAATGGACTTTAAAATGCATGATGGATAAATCAGCAAATCTACTTAAGAATGGAGAAGAATGAGATAAATAAGCTGTTGTCCAGAAGCACTGAAGTTGACTGCTAAAAAAGCCAGCAGCTAGTTTGTGAGGCGGCAGCTCAGAAAATTGTAACATGGTCTCTGACTCAATCAAAAGGTGGATGGCATAAAAATGGCAACCAACAAACATCGATAGAAAATGTAAAAAAGCAGAAAATCATTACTGCGGATCTACAGTAGGCTTAATTTTAACTATGACTTTGTACCTCTCATTATTGCATTTGGTATCTTGCAGACTTTTTAGTTGGCTGCTGGCGTATATGAAGCCCCATCTTTGTCAGCAGACAGATGACTGTGGCACACCGCTAACCTCTTTGTCCAGTACGGAGTTGCCACATCCCCAAAGAGCAACACATCTCACCTGGCTGCACGTGAAAGAAGAAACTTCTCAGCACAAAGCCCAGTTGTGTTATGGCAATGAATCTTCTTATTTTACTGTTTCTCTCAATGCTAAGAAACTATTACCAAAGCACCTGTTAGATGACAAAACACAAAACTCCCGGCTACTTTTGTCACTGAAGAGCAATCTCACTCACACCTCTCCAGCAGTTGTAACAAACTTTCCTAAAATCCTATCTGATAAGATCCAAATACTGAAAATCAACAGAGTGAAACTGCTTAAGTGGGTGCTGCTGGACACTGTGTTCCTCACCCCTCTTGGAAAAATCCTCCCATACAATTGTAATTAAAAGAAAAACAAACACAACAGAAACAACTAAACCAGACCACTGACCGATAGCTAATTACGTCCTGATTTCTTGTACTACTGTAGCAGTTATATAAGGCTCATATGAAAGTAGACTGGTTTTAAAAGTAACACACACAGTTAACAAAATCCTGAATGAAGCTGTACCCATGTCAGGTTTCTGGTAACGCTGAAAAATCACTTGAGCTTTGCTTTTATAGTTACCAGATGTCATCAGTTCTTTTCGGGGCTCTGCGTGTGAGTACACTGAATTATACAGCAATGTTGCAGCTCTATAGTTCAGTCTCACAAAAAGGTGATTTCTATTAAACGAAGGCAATTTTTTTAAAATGTTAGCTTGTGTTACAAATGCTAACTTGGCCCTCCTTCTGAAATTCATGAAACCACACTGGGGAACGTAGCCAAGACACACGAGCGCGCACCCCCCCCCCCCCACCTCC